CTGCTCCTGCTCCTGCTGCTCCTGCTACTGCTATTTCTACTGCCGCTGCTACCGCTGCTGCTGCTGCTGCTGCTTGTACTGACGCTACTGCTGCTGCTACTGCTTTCGTACTGTTGTTGCTGCTACTGCTGCCGCTGCTACTGCTCCTGCTCCTGCTCCTGCTGCTACTGCTCCTGCTCCTGCTGCTGCTGCTGCTGCTGCTGCTGGTACCGCTACTGGTAAAGGTACGCCACTGTACTGTTGTTGTCGCTGCTTTTGCTACTGCTGCTGCTGCTCCTGCTGCCTCCTCCTCCTCCTTTTCACACTACCACTACCACTGCGATGACGAAACGCCCCCTGGTACTACTGGTACTAGTGCTACTGGTGCGATTGGTACTACTACAACAACGACTGCTAGTACTACTCGGCGCCGGCTGAGATGATTGCCTCGAACTGGACCATGAAGAAAAGTGCAGTCGGCGCCTTGGCAAGTGTGTGAACATGAGACATGAAGAAGGTGAGCATGGTTCCATCAGGCAAAGTCTTCTTGGGGGATCGGCATCGGCGTCACATTGGCCCGCTACTTAAGGCACCCTTCACAGCATTGTGGGCTACTCGTTGCAATGGCAACCAAACAGGTTCATAACGGCAAGTCGCTTGTTCGCGTCGCTGCGTGCTGCCACGAGATGTGCATTGGCCAGCACCTGGTGGGCCATGTCAAGAAGTCATTTCAACTCCAATAGTTGCACCGCATCCAAGCTGGCGCCAACCTGATACCGCATAAATCATGACGGCAGCATAGCCGAAGATGAGCAAATTTGAACGTGGATCTCGATGGCCAGTCAGCAGGCTTGGCGCGGAGTAGACAGCCGTGCAGTAATTCCCCTCATGAGCAGCTACACTGGTGTGACGTAGTTTCAGGGCGACTTCAGCAATAAGTGCAACGAATACAAGTTGTCTCGGAGGATATCCGTTCACTTCATCATCTGCCGAGCCTGATTGCGACTGATAGCTCCGACTTTCTCAGAGCGACAGAACGGCAGGACTGTGCACTGGCTGTCGCGAGACGTCCTCGTAGTGTTCGTGGATTCCAACCTGGCCTATGGTGCTGGTGCTCGTGCTCGGGATCCTACGAAATTGCTCCGGGGAGGGCCACAAGCAGTTTAGGCTGTTTCGGAATGAATCGGATCCAAGGTTCTGATCCCAAAATAAGCGGAATCCCGGAAACCATTGATTCCGTGTATTGATGAGTGCCATTTTGCAATGATCCAAAACATAGACTGGACTGTCCTTTGTTTGGTTCAGGGGACCTGAGGCGTTGCAGTATTTTGTCCGTCAGCAGTACAATGGCGAATGTCTCCGAATTCTCTTTCCGTGTCAGAGTGCATTGCATATGAGAACAAGACCTGCAACAGCACAGATGCCACATAAACATGCATGTATGTATGTATGTATGTATGTATGTATGTATGTATGTATGTATGTATGTCTGTCTGTATGTAATGTATGTATGTATGTCCGTAAGTACGTAGGTAGGTAGGTATGTATGCATGTATGCATGTATACATGTATGTACGCATGTTCGTGTGCATGTATGTATGCATGCATGCATGTATGCATGCTCGTGTTTGCACTATGTATGCATGTATGTATGAACAGTTGAATAACTAAACAGATGAGTCTATGCACAGATAATTTGCTCATTAAAGTTGTCAATGAGAACATGGTTTGTGCAATGAACCATTAAACTTACCAAGACGTAAATACATAAGTTCTAATCTAGATCAAAGTGCTGAAACACACAAAAGCGATGTAAATATGTACGTGTATCTGTGTGTGTACATGCATACAAGAGGAGCGACCGTGATGTCCAAAAGCAGGTCAATCCGAGCTGCAGGTAGACGACATGCAGCCATCCCGACTTGCCGTTGTTGTTTCACCGACACCTGCAACCAAAACAGACCTGCCCTACTGTAATGGGTAGGTTGTTGGGTGTGGGTCTCTTGCTGTTAACAGAAAACGACCCGCGAATGTCCCAACAGTGGCTGAGAGAGTCATCAACGTATTCCCAGCTACAGGAATAGCTGTCCAAGCCTACACGATGCTATGACTCGTATGACATATGACGTTGTGATGTCTGCTGAAGGCCTGGCTTCGGGCTTACATCGAGGGTCACTCGGAGCTGCGGCGTGGGGCCTTGCGTCAGGCCGGATCTGCCCACAAGGTTTTTCGGGTTTTGATGTTTAGGGCCAGTTCAGGGTATAGACTTCGTCGCCATCGCCATCGCCATCATCATCATCATCATCATCATCATCATCTTCGTCATCATCATCATCATCGTCATCAGCATCATCATCATCATCATCATCATCACCGTCATCACCGTCATCACCGTCATCACCATCATCGCCATCATCATCATCACCATCATCGTCATCATCTTCACCGTCATCATGATTACCGCCATCACTACCATGGTCATCAGCATCATCATCGTCGTCATCCTCATCAACATCACGATCATCATCTTCACCATCATCATCATCATCATCTTCTTCATCTTCATTTTTATCGTTTTCGTCTTCTTCATCGTTGAGACATCGTCATAAGTACTGTCTTGCATCCCCAGCCTCATCACAGTCACTACCGGCAACTGTTATGGTTGTTGTTGAGCGTGTTCCTTCGGACATGATCTCCAGAAGGAGGTAACTGTGCTGCTGCTACAGACTGTTGAAGCTTGGCACAACCACGGGCTTGCATAGAGTAAATCACATCAGATGTTCCGATCTTCCCTGTTTTTAGGAACGCCCCTCAATGCCATAATTATGTGATAAAGCCAGAATTAATGTGTCTTGTCATAATTCTAGAATATGTCGGTCTTGGTTAATAACGATAATGTGTCACAGACTGCAATTATTCCATAGTCGTACTAGAATCATGCTCTGGTATACTGGTCTTGGGCAGGCAGTCATCCTTCAGGTCAAGAATGGGGCTGACTCCTCAGCTTCGCTTCTCCTGCGCTCTTCACAGCTCCAAGCTGTTGCGCCATGGGAGTATTCGTGACCCAGAGAATCCAATACCCTTCAACTGAGGAGTTTACCTGAAATCGTAATATTCATTAAGCCCCCTGTAATTTAAGGGAAATTCCTTATTCAGGGGTATCGGGCTCTCTGAGGACTGACTTGGCTGAATCGGTTCGTGAGAAGATGAGGCAACATCCCTGCTCCTGGATGTCGAGGGCATCAATGGGATGGTTCCCAACCAGGCCGTGGCCATTGACCAACGTGGGGGCTTAATTACCAATGCTGTTTTCAGGTTCCCTGCTATAGCTATAGTCAGCTATAGTATCATATGCCCCGAAACCCTATTCTAATGATTAAGGCCCCTAGATCCAACGGCTTGCTGTTCTGGCGTTTGGGTTTGCTCTGGGACCTATAGTAGTACGAAAGCATTAACATCGAATACTTCCGATTGTAGAATAATCATAATATTGCCATAGTCTTGTTATTATAGTTGTTATGAGGTTTTTATCATCGTGTCATTGCTACACCACATGGCAACTCGAACCTTCTTGGTGAGGACTTGGTGAACACCTACTCTATCACTGCGAGAGTCCTTGGCTCAGCCCTTCAGTGTTCATCGCCTCCAGAGACGGTTTAGGGTTTAGGATTCGATGCCCCGTTCCATTCTGAATGCAAGAAGATGGGAAGCGCTCTGATTTTCTGCCTGAGGGCAGCAAGGCTTAGCATGCGTCGCCAGTGCGGCAGCTGCGGCATGATCTGCGGTGAGCATGTCCATGCCCATGCTTAAGCATATCTCCTTAGACGGCAGACTTTCAGAAAGGGATCGTCCTAGGCCCAAGTAGCATGTGGAGTGGTGCTCAGGAGCGTCCAGGACTCGTCGTGCGGCATCGGGACGCCTGGGAGTCCGTGATGCACCATGCGAGGCTCATATATTGAAGACTAAACTCCTTTTGACAATACAAGGTTGATGTCGTACTCTGGCCTTCTTGGGCCTGTAGCTTGAAGATAATTGAACATACGGTATCATACGGTAAACTTTCAAGAATGATGCTGCCGAAGTTCTGTGCATCATTGTTTGAGTGCGGCTTTCTAGCCAAGCCCAACCTGCACCATAATTTGCAATCGCTGCCCCCCAACGACGACTACGGCGACGACGATGGCGAAGGCGCCAGCGACGAAGAAGGCTGCCTACCGCTATTACTGCTGCTGCTGCTGCTGCTGCTGCTGCTGCTGCTGCAGCTGAGCAGCATATAGTACAACACTAACGTCAACATCAGCTTCTAATACCGGTGCTTCTTCCGCGATGACCACGACCACGGCCACGATTCGCTGCTCTTCTTTCCCTTCCTACTTACGCTGCACTCAGCTCAGCTGCTTCCACCACTGCCCCGACAAGCACCACCACTAGCCATACCATTAATGTTACTGCTGCCACTACGACTTCGTCACCAACGGTGCCAGCAGTGCACGCCCGTGCCAGGAATGGTGGAGTTCACACGAGCCGCGGCCTCGCGGGATCAGCAAGTCGACAGGACGATGGCTGATTTTTTTCAGGAGTGGGTGGGTTCAGGCAACTTCGGGGCTGCAGGCGCCCGGGCAAAACCTCATCGCCCACCGTCACCTGACCCTCATGTGGCTGCAATCGCGGCACATGCCTCTGAGGTCATGCCGCATTTCTGGAGCTGCAGGTTCCGTGTTACCTGCAGTGGGAGCGTCCACTTTGGCGAGCTCACCAATCATCTGGGGCTTAGCATTTATATCATTTATCTTCAGGTCCCGGCCTTCACTATCAGAGGTGTGTGTGGAGCTGAGTTGTTGAGAGGCAGTTTTGGTTCCGTGCAACTGTACAGCCTGAAACTGCCCTGGAAACTGTGCCATCGTGAGGTCGGCGAAAGGAGATCGCAGTACGAACCTCAAGCAGATGCCTCAGCGAGGAGTCTTCGCGGCAGGATCACCCGTGCTTCCTCTTCTCTTGTTCCAGTGTGCATGTCCAAAGCCTTTGCATCTCCTCCAGTGACTGCTGCAGTGTGGACTCGCTGGCGATGTCCATCGAAAGCGTCGTTAGGCGTGACCGTGGTCTGCAGAACACCAGCTGCGGCTTACCGTGACAGAAGCTTGGTGTGCAGGTGTATGAGCAATGCCCTACAGCAGCTCCATCACTCCTTCAACTTCTATTTCTTCACAGGGCCGAGCAGCCACATCTCGAACGGGATCGAGCCTCAGGCATCGACATCACAAGCGAAGCCTGCTCCCTTCAGTACTGCTCAGGCTGTATTTGTATCCCGTCTTTGCGATGCATTGCCTGCTCATCAGCTTCCTCGGGACCCCGAGGGCTGTAATGTACCGTATTCACAACTTCGAGGCTCCCGTGGGGCCGAAATTCCTTAGCTGCAGGACCACGCCGCCATACCGCGACATTCGGTCGCTGCTGGTGGGCCTTGGTGTGGTCGCTGCCATTGCAGGGGTGCCGCAACTGCCTGCATGGACAATTGAAGTACTCAGGAAATGTGTGGGAAGACAAACTTTGGCGGTTGCATTGTGTGACAGCCAACTCTTGCCGCATTCGCTGCAAACCTGCAGGTATCTGGCAGCGCGATGTTTGCCTTGGCCATGAACGACGAGCTTCTTGCAAAGAGGCCAGGCTGTGCCGGTGTTTTGAAGGCAGCAGATTGCCAGAGACTTGAAACTTGAAACAGGGTCATAGCATTTCGTGCAGGGGAGTAGCTCTAGGTTAGCAAAGCTGACTATCCCATGTCTTGCACAAGCTTGTGCTTCGGCACCTGGACAAATAGGGCCGAGCTATCCTCAGTTTCTCTGGACTCTGCTTGATTTGGAAATGCCTTTGCTGCATTCCGGCCAGCTTGTCGCTCTCGGAGAAGCTTGTCTCTGGGCCGCACCGTTGAGCTGGCGTTCTTCTTGGGCTAGAAGCAGTAACGGCAAGAGTCGTTGCCCATTGGCGGCCATACTAAGATAGCAGCAACAAAAACGACACGATAGTAGTAGTCCTCGTCGTCGTCGTAGTAGTAGGAGTAGGAGTAGGAGTACTAAGAGTAGTAGAAGAAGAAGCAATACGGAGAATGATAGGGCACAGCACTGGTAATATTATTGGTATCATCATTACTACCAGTATCATTACTACTAAAGTATCAATTTCATTGTCACTTTCTTTTATTCAGCCAAGACGTCAGCCAAGGCTTGCATCCGCCCCGAGGCCTCTGCGGAGGCGGAGTTCACTTGACGGAAGTCATAGCCGTTAGAACGCTCTGAGCCCTGAACCCGAAAGCCTAAATTAGTGTTGAAGGTTTAAGATTAAACCCCGAAGCTTAAATCCTGAATTCGGGTTTGGCGTTTCGGGCTTAGGCATGAACCCCGAAGCCCCAAACACACGGGAGCAAGGCACTATCAATTCCGTGTTGCCCTTGCTTACCGCCATCGCCCTGCCCCCCGCACCACGCTACAATCTACAACACTCTTTTCTACAAACCTAACGATTAGTGCATATTATTATGCATAATATAAACTAATCCCCT